TGGATTCGCTGTCTTGGTCACGTTCTGTCTTCTTTCTCGTTCGATCACATAGTTCCTGATTCAAGTAGAAAAAGAAAAGAAGCCTGGCAACCTCAGGATGATGCCAAGACTTCAGGAAACTTTCTGGCCAATGAGATATAACGTGTTAATTTAGAGCTTTACAGGTGCTGAGAGGTGGATTTTGTTCAATTTGGACGGAGCCGGGCTAGCTGTTTCCCCCTGTATTCAGTCTTCATGCTAAGCTAAGCTAACTGCCGGTGGTAGATTCATATTTGGCGTACAGGCACGAGAGTGGTATTGATCTTCTCATTAAACTCTCCAAGAAAGCAAAAAAGTGTATTTCCTATTAAAACAAAACACTGTCTGCATCACACCAGGTTACTGCCATACATGTGAACAATTCAAACAATCCTACAAACTGTTTCATTTGTTGGATTGGAGAAATTATGTAAAAGTATCTAGTATTTCTCAGGAAAAATACAATAATTATAAAGAAATCAGATAATAAAATAATTGTATGCAACAGAAATATGGTTCAGATAAAATCAACAGTTAAAAACAATAACTATCATATACTAAGACATGTTAATTACAGTGAAAGCAGGATACAAATAGATATAAGCAGAACACACATGGGCAGCAATAAAAGCCATACATCTATAAATGAAAGTGTACAGATATAATTTCCATTCGGCTCAGATTGGATCACAATGCAAACCTCCAGATGTGGTCTGGTGGATCTGAATGCGTTTACACCTGCATTAACATTCCTGATCCAGATAAGACATCCGGGCCACATCTGGATATGAGGTCTGTTTTATTGCCCTGTTGCTGCTCATTGTGCTAACTGTGCTGCAGGTAATCATGTGGGGTGGAGCTGTCACATTAGTGCATCTGTGAGCACCTGAGCCCAGTGCTGCTCAGAGAGCTCCCTGTTAGCTGAGATAGACGCTCTTACAGAGTGCTTCTATCTCAGCTAACAGGGCGTCTCTCCGTGTGCGGCTGTTTGGTTTCTTTATTCACGCACCAACCTCACCCACCAACTGACTTGACTTCACTAAAAGACAATTCTGGGCTCAAAATGCAATACTCAGTTAAACGTGCCAATACATGATAACCTTGGCAGAGACGTCTAATGTCACCAGATTAATCACAAAGCCAGAGAGTCTCCACGTTGAAATGAATCACTGGAACATGAAGAGGTTGGGAATTTCACTTTTAAGACATCAAACTGCCGGCCCGGGGGCCATTTTTGGCCCTCCAGTTGTTCCATATAAATTTTGAGTTTTAGTTTGGCGCAAAATAATGGCAAAGGTGCAAATTGGTGCAAACGGTTAATAAGAAAAGAGCAGGCGAAGTATAAACTGATACAGACTGATATACGTAAACATGTAAATGAACTGCTGTTTGCAGTTTATTTGTCATGTATGATGGAGTATTGCACGTACACTATACTTAACATAGTATGTGAACGTTGAAGTGGCCCTCGAATGCAGAGAAAACCTCAAAAATCTTAAACCTCAAGTTAAAGTCTTGAGTTCAAACCGTAACCTAAAGTCCAAATCCTGCTCCCTCTAAATAAACCAGAATCTTAAAAACCTCAAATTAAATCTTAACCCTAACTCTAGACCCAACACATCTCAAACCCTAAACCCAAGAAATAAACAGAAACCAAAACCTTCAGTCTAACCTGAAACCTCAGGTCTAACCCTAACTCCAGACTAGAGACCTACTCCAGACTAGAGACCTTAAATCCTCACCTAAAACCATCAACCCCACACTCCTTAAATCTTAAAATTATAACCTTAAAGTAATCCCTGAACTATAAGGTTTACATCTACTGGTGCCACCAGCTGTAAGTGCTTTTAAGCAAGGCCCTGAACCTCGACAATGGCACCAGGGGCAGTGATTGCACTGTTTGAGCCTGACCTCTGGCCTCTCTGGAGACACGCACATGTAATAGGGTCATATGTGTGGACAGAGAGCACGTTGACAAAACAATTATATAATTTTTCCTTAAACTGAAACATAACCCTAAATT